TGAGTCCAGGTGGTTTACACAAGACTGCAAACGAGCAGGTGTGTGAACTGCACCCACCATTCCCGGCTCTCATGACCCCTGGCCACACTCAGGGAGAACCCACCAGCACCTAATGGCCGAGGTCTGCTAACTCTAGCTATGGCTGGATTCAGGAGCACCCTCCACAGCTCTTGTGGCCTGCCTTCCCCTCCTCAAGAGGGAGAAACAATTTCCTTCAGTCATGGCTTTCTGCCCAAGAACAGATGCTCCGAATTAGCTCAGAAGGGCAGCAGGATTGCTCAGTAAATATATTGGATTGGTTTGGGGCTTGTTTCTTCCGGAAAACTTGGGCTCTCACAGAATCAGCACAGCCACATTTCCTGGCGCCTGGCTGAGTGGAAGCCTCGGAGCCTTGTTCTCTCCCACGGGCACACACTCCACCCTGTTCAGGATTCCATTGTCACCAACTCGCCCAGCACTGTGTTGCTGACTTGGACCTTGCAGGGACTCGGCAGCTATGGGCATGTTAGGACTCTTTTAGACACTCTATCAAATATCCATCAAGAAATATCAGCCGGGGCTCACTGTGATGCACCAGGATCCCATCTGGGTGCTTGTGGCCTGGGAAAACAGTAGATTATCTGAGTATTTGGGTCCCTGCCACCCACATGGGAGACTCAGATGGGGTTCTAGGTTCTGGCTTTGGCCTAATCAAGTCCTGGCTATCTGAGGAGTGAACAAGTGAATGGAAGATTTTTCCCTCTTGCAATTCTGTCTTTTAAATAAATAGATCTTAAAAAAAAAGAAAGAAAGAAAGAATGCTGATGACAGCACATTGTTTTTAGTTGGACAATTTCTTCCTGAGCTGTATGAAGTCATTTATAAATGTGAAGACAACCGTTTGTGAAGAAGCGAACTGTTATTCCAAAGTTTAAGACAAAGCCAGCTTTTACACAAGGCAGAATCAGTAACTATCTTTTCTAGGTCATGGATGGTCCTGTTTTGTTTTTCATGCCACTAGCTTTGCTTAGGGCTTATGGTCTTCGTTTTCTACAAGGGAGCTTTAAAAGTTCAAGGAAAATGCACATTCTACAAAACTATGCATGCATTTCAACATTTTTTTTTGCACCAAAATCAACTTGTGCTTTAATTCTGTTTTCCCTGAGTTTTTTCAGGCTTTCGGTATTTTATGCCTAAGTGTAGGTTGGTAGGAAATGGAATATTTTAAAAGATTGATTTAATTTTGTATTATCTTTGAGGGGTGACATCCGGCAATTCTGTTTTATGGCTTAGGAGAATCACTTTCCTTTTTTTCAAGAAACAAGCTATAATGCTGAGATCACAAAGGATAAAAATACCAGGAGGCCTTGCAGTTGTGCACATTGAGATCTTATGGAGTCAGACGCCTGATCTTCTGGCAATAAAAGACTCACCTTTGGGGAAGGAAGACCTCCAACTTCAAAATCGACGCCCCCCTCCACAGGGAAGGTGTTGGACAGGCTTTCACAAAACAACACATGGTTCCTTCCAGTCCTTTGAAATTCAGGCCCCAGGCTGGCATTATGGCACAGCAAGCTAACCCAATGATGGCATCCCGTAGCAGAGCACCTGTCTTTAGTCCTGCCTACTTCCTTTGGACCCATCTCCTTGCTAATCTGCCTGGGAAAGCAACAGAGGATGGCCCAAGTGCTTGGACCCCTGATACTCATGTAGGAAACTCAAATGGTGTTCTAGGTGCCTGGATTCTCTCTGTCACTTAGCCTTTCAAATAATTTCATTAAAAAATATTTAACAACAGAAAATTCCCCTACTATATTGAGAAATACTTGTCTGGTGTGTGTGTGTGTATGTGTATGTGTGTGTGTGTGTGTGTATGTGTGTGCGTGTGTGTTGGGGGCTAAGCCTCCTTTATGTGAATATCTTAATGGTTTGTGGGGCAGGACCAGACAAATTTCAAAAATAGAGAGGGGTCCCCATCCCTGCTGGGGCTGATAAGCAGGTCTGCTCCATGAGCACTCACTACAAGGTTGCACCTGCTATTTCAGCTCAGGCCTGGCAAAGACAGTATAATCTGACACAGTAGTCTTTTAAGCCAGCCTCTGCCACCCACATGCAAGAAAGTTTGGATGGCAGATAAAACTGGGGATCCATATCTCCACCTGCTGGGAGCTAAAAGGGTGAATTATTAGGACCACTTGATGTTCAAAATACTTGATCAGTGTACTTTAGCAGTTAGGGAATTGTTTGAGGATAAACATTATTATAAAATAGTATTTTCACAATAATATTTAATGTTATTTTTGATGGTGTTTACATAGTTGGTTAGGGTGGGAAGGGTCAAGGGTTAGGGGAAAGATGAGACCATTATTTCCAAATTTTCTTTTTCTTCTTCCTTTATCTGGGGGAAGGAGGAAGATAAGGGGAGAAGCCACACTCAGCCTCCAAATCACTTCAGTACCCAGGGATGGGGAACAGCTACCCGATGTCATCCCAGGGTTCCCTTTGTGGAGCATGCTCCAAGGGTTCTGCTTAAATGGTTTTGATAGTTCTAAAATGCGGCCAATCTCACCACACCAAAGATGAGCAAATTCTTCCAAGGTCCAGTGACTGACATAGTCCACCTTAGAGCCTCCAATCGCATAGATACTTGATGTCAACGCCTGGCTGGTGTAGTTGACCAATTTGTTCTGTCCTTCATCCTTTGCTATGGTATCAGATGTCCTCTGCAGACTCCGATAGACTGTTATATTCTCCATGTATGTCTGTGTATGCCGTCCATTGCTCTATCTGAGCCACTGAAGAGGCCCAGTTCTGACACATGAATTCAAATACAGTGGCCTTGCTGATGGAAGTTCCCCAGAAGTCATTCCTCACCTACAACATACTGGCTTCCCTTTAGGTGGGGCACTAGGAAGCGTGGTGGCTGCATTCATCTCTGTTTTTTCTTAAGATTAGATTTTGGAAAGGCAGCGTTACAGAGAGAGAGAGAGAGAACAAGAATGAGAGAGATCTCTTACCTGCTAGTTCATTCTCAGAATGGTACAATGACCAGAGCTGGCCAGATGGAAAGCCTGAACTCCATCCAGGTCTCCCACATGAGTGCAGGGGCCCATTTTCTGCTGTTTTCCCCAAGTGCATTAGCAGGGAGTTGGTTTGGAAGTGGAGCAGGTAAGACTCACACAAGCCTCGTTTATAATAGCAGACAGTGGCTTAAGCCGCTGTGCCACAATGTTGGGTCCACTTGTGCTACTCTGTTAAATTTCTCTCCATGCCCCTTCCCCCAGGGCTTGTGTGGGCTCTCAGGTGTCACCAGCCACAGGTATTGTGTTGGTTCTCACTGATTTCTTGAAATCGTAGTAGTCTCTTTGCAGACTTCCCTCCGGTTTTAGCCAGTTTGAAGGAGCCCACTGAATCCTGCTGAGATCTGACTGATTTTTTTCTGAGTCACTCAGATTAGAAAGATGGTTATAATCTAGTTATCACAATCTGTCCTCCTTGCCTTATTCCAAGTAAACAGTCTTCTAGGCCAAGCAATTAGAATCATCTGGAGCAGGGGTCAGCAAAGTACGGCTCGCAGGCCAAGGGCAGCCGGGCGCCGCCTGTTTCTGTAAATGAAGCTTCATTGGCACGCAGCCGCGTCTGTTTGTTTTCTTGCTGTCTGTGGCTGCTCCAAGCCACAGCAGGAGGTGAGGCACTACAATCCAAGTGGCCTGTGACATCTCACTATTTGACCCAGGATTGGAAAAAAAAGAAAGAAAAAAGGAAAACCTGGCTTACACTTGAGTTAGAAGGAAACCAGAACGTGTGTACTGCATTGTTCTCATCAAGTTTTATGGGTCTGATGAAACCCTGGGGGAGCTTCAGGTTGCTGTAACTGCTGTAGCACCTACACACACCCACCCGCTGGCAGGTGCCTGTCCTGCTGCTGCATAGCGGGGGAGAGGAGACAGGAGGCCGTAACCCACAAAACCAGGATGTGCATGTGTTCAAAAGCACTTATGCTTCAGGATTGTGGCAGGAAGTTGTTTTCTGGAAAGAATGACTCTGTGGAATGTCTTAGTCTTCCTGCACACATCTAACCCCCTCACCTCCACCTGTCTGACTCTGGGAGATCTTCCTGGGGGAATCTGAGCTTGGTACAGCAAGGCTGATGCTCAACAAATATTGCTTGATGGACTGGGTGGCAGTCAAGTGCTGCCATGGTGCCAGGCACACACCCATGAGTGATCCCTGTCTTATTCCCAGTCACCTCCCTTGCTTTCTTGATACCACCCAAGGGGCTTGTGTTCCTGGTCTAACCATTTGGCCATGACACCTGTAGTCTTTACTGAAGTCAGATAGTCAGGTATTCCCCTGCTGCCTGCGGGAACTTTTGCCTGCCTTCCAGCCTGGCTCAACCACTGCTGTGAAAAGGGATTCAGAGGGTCATGCCTGACTCCTCTTCAAGGCAGTGCTTTGTGTCCCCTGTTGAAGAGAGGGCTCTGAGTTCCTTGCCCCCGCTGCACTGTCCCAGCTGCAAAATGATCAGACGCCGTCACCCTGTGCTGAGGAAGCTGTCCGGATCCACTGAGTGCTTCTTCCCACCAAGAGGCCGCTGCAGCATGACAGCACTACTAAGGACACCGCTGACCTTGGGGAGTCATCTGCCTGAAGTCCTGAATTTTGGGGACTGTAATAGACCAGTGGGCTTAACCTCTGAATGGGGACTAGCATCATGTAACATTGAAGCCACTATGAAACAAGAACCCAGGAGGGCAACTAGAGATTGCCTTTAATTCGAAGCCTTCGGTCAAACAGGGCCCCAGGACCATGGCCATCCTCTGCTTCCTGGAGAGCTGGGCTTTCTCAGGCTTCCTGGATCTCCCTGTGATTGACATGACCCAGATGCCAGCAGGTGCATTTGAGTTGATTGCTGCTTGGTCTGCTGCTGGCCACGGTAGCCTTGCTCTTTTCAACCCCAGTTCCTACCCTCCCAAGCCCCCCTTTCCTTACCACTGCCTGTATTCTCTCATCTCCCACAGGGTCCCCGATGGCACATTGAGCTGCAGCCTTGGGCCGGCCCTGCCCACTCCCTAGATGAAGAAGCCGCGAGGTTCCTGAACTACATCAGCACAACACAGGTTGGCTCTGGGGGTCATGTGAGATCCGGTTGGAATTTCTGGCTCCTACTGGTTGATCTTGTGAAAGTAGGGTTGATTGAAAGAGACGTGGGGCAGATCTCAGCAACTCCTGGAGGGACAGCGCAGGGACATAGGGCACTAAGATGCTCCCCTTTTGTTCTGCCTCGCAGGAGAGGGAGGTGTTTTAAGGATTCATCTCAAAGCCTTCTGAGGATCCACTTTAGCAAACTGTTGTGGGAGGCATCAGTTCCCTCCCTGTGAGCAGGCAAGTGAGGGTGTTACCAAGCACAGGCACCACACAGAGGCCTGGGCTTCCACGTGGACCTGGAGGATTTTTGCCTTTTCAAGGTTTGGCTCCAGATGCCAGGCAGCTCGGGGATGTGTCATGTGATAGAGCACAGGAGCCTGTGCAAGCGGAAGAAGTGACTGCTTCCGAAGGCGTATTGTTTCCTTCAAGCACTTTGCAGCCTTCCTGAGTGCCAGTTAATATGAGTGACTTAACCCATCCTGGCAGCTCCTGCCAAGCTACTGGCTGTATTAGGCAGAGACATCCACTAAGTCAGAAGAGTTCATCCTTGGGCTGTCTAATCCCGGGGGAAGGAGAGACAGGCGAGGACATTTAGTCTATGAACTGCGAAGTGCTAGTAGATTAACACCTGCCTTGGAGCTGAGCAGAGGCCACGTTTGTGAAATTGCCCCCACTCCAACCCCAGTGGAGCTGAGAGAGAGGAGAGACAAGTCTGACTTCGTTGGATCTCGCTTTGGCCCCTGGCTTTGGGCATCCTTCCTTCTCACAAATCTCACTGGCAACAAAGCCAACTTTGCCCTCTGGGGAGAGAAAATGTTCCTAGATCTTTAGGTGGCTAATTTGAGGGTAAAAGGAAGTCTTCCTTTTCATATGCAATCAGACAGTCCTAGGATTTTCCTTTTTGTCACCCACAAGTGGAAGTGAAAGCTGGTGTTATTAATTATGGGGTTGGAATAATGAATTGGTCTCTGTGCTTTACATAATTTCATCTTATTTTGTAGCTGCAAATTAATTTGGTGGACTTATACAGACTTAATTAAAATGCTGAAATGTTCATCTTAGTTTGGTTTGGCAAGAAGGAAACATAGCTGGACCTGTTGACTTTGGCTTTAAAAAGCCCTTTAAGGTGTCAGAGGGGTCGGCAACATTATGGCACAATGGGTTAAGAAGCAGACATTTAGGGTATGCATATCTCCCATCTTGGAGTGCTTCGTTTTTGAGACCTGGATATTCTGCTACCAATCCAACTTCCTGCTAGCATGCCTAGAAAGCAGTAGATGATGGCTTAGATGCTTGGGTCCCTGTCATTCACATGGGAGATCCAGATGGAATTCCTGGCTCCTTGTTTCAGGCTGGCCCAGTCCCAGCCATTGCAGGCATTTGGAATATCAACCAGAGGGACAGAAGGTCTCTCTCTCTCTGTTTCTCTCTGTACCTTTCAAGTAAATAAATAAGTAAATAATTTAAAAATAAAAGGCCCCTAATCTCTCTCTCTGTTTCTCTCTCAACCTTTCAAGTAAATAAATAAGTAAATAATTTAAAAATAAAAGGCCCCTAGAGACCCCCCCAAGGAAACCAAGTGGCATCAAGTTTATGAATTGAAGTTGGGGAATATGACTTGTACTCCCTACCTCCCAAATCAGTGTACTGAATGCAAGCCTTCAGATTCCATTTTATATGTTTTTCAGGCCAGTGTTCTAGTCATGATAGAAAGTATACTGGTTTAGAAATTTCTTAAGGCATGAACTGATGGTTTCAGATTCCTCTGAGATCTTTCCCCTTGAGCTGCCGACTGAGAGAGAATTCTTTAGCCACTGCACGGCATCCTCTGATGTGATGTGACAAGATACCACGGCCCGGGTGATTTACCCTGCTTCCCCTACTCTCGCTGTTCTCCTGAAAAGGAAGCATTTGGATTAGTTTCCAAGGTCGCTCTTAGTTCTCTGATCTTGTACTGTGCAGAGAATAGAGAGTTGTTTTTAACTATATACTTTTAAAAAGATCTTTTTGTCTATTTGTGAAACAGAGGAATGGACAGACAAGCCGGCAGACAGACAACCATAAGGTGCCAGGAACTGTGCCAGGTCGTGAGGCTCTTCCTCCCAGAAGCTAGCGTGCCAGTTGTGAGGACAGATCAACGGAAGTATTATTCATTGTTCACTTTGATGAAGGCCTTAATAGACACTTGGTTGGTAGGGCCACTGAAAGGACTTTTTAAAAATGTTTATTTATTTTTATTCAAAAGGCAGATCAGATTTACAGAGGGGAAAGAGAGAAAGATCTCAATCCACTGGTTCATTCCCCAAGTGGCTGCAGTGGCTGGAGCTGAGCTGATCCAAAGCCAGGAACCAGGAGCCTCTTCCAGGTCTGCAACTTCTCTCCCAGGCCATAAGCAGGGAGCTGAATGGGAAACAGGGCAGCTGCCGGGATAGGAACTGGTACCCATATGGGATCCTGATGCTTGCAAGGTGAGAATTTAGTCATTGATCCATTGTGCCAGGCCCTAAAAGGATTTTCTTGAAAAGACTAATGGAAGGTGGAGTGACAGAGAGAGGGCTGGGGAGGAGAGAGAAGAAGAGAAAGAGAAAGTTCCATCCGTTGGTTCAGTCTCCCAAATTCCAGCAATAGTGGAGCTGGACCAGGCTGAAATCAAGAGGTAGAAACTTGCACGTGGGAGTTAGGAACCCCAAAGCTGCCTCCTGCAAGGTGCATTAGCAGAAAGCTGCACGGGAAATGGAGGCAGGGCTCTCTGGTGAGGGATGTGGACGTCCCAAATAATGACTTAATGCAGCACACCAGAACAGTGTCCCCACTGGGATTTTTGTCTTCCACAAAGAGGGTCTTATGATGGGTTTTTAATCATGGGGCCTTTTTAACCAGGGAAAGCACTGTTCTTTGTTCTGCTTCTGGGCTACGAGGAGGCCAGCTGGTAGGAGCCGTCAATAATGATGCTGAGTGGGTCTTAAGCAGAATCTTTGCCTAACCGTTACTTCCTCCCTGCCTCTATGGAATGCAGAGCCTTGGGACTGCTTTTGTGCCTTGTACTTCATTTAGAACTCATCTTGACAGGGAAAGCCTGCAATAATACTCTGAAAAAAAACCTGGTAAAAATCTTAGATCCACTGCTACCTAAAATTTTCACAGTTAGCAAGAATGAGTCATGATGGGTAAGAAAAAAAAACCCTCTGAAGGTACAAAAGCAAATTCCACCCCTGCCTCTTATGCTGTTTTAACAAAACATTATTCTCCTCAACACTGTGTTCCACAAGGCCCCGCATTTGGTACGATTACTGTTGATGTATTTATGCTTCGATTCTGCAGATACTCGCTAGGGACTGGCTTTGTGGCTGGCACTGAGCTGGGCACTGCAGCATCAGACCTGAAGCACACAGGTGCATCTGTATCCCCCAACAGACAGTGAGGGTCAAAGAGTTACATGTTTTAGGAGAGAAGAAAGGCCTGTGGACAGACAGGCCTCTGTCCACTGAGGGGGTATTGGATATGGAGGCACAGGGCCTGGGGTGGTACGGCATCGAACAGCCTTGGGCATGACACTCCTGGAGTCGCACAGGGTACGGTTGGGGTCTTTACAGAAACCCCAAAGGACAAGGGCAGAGTGTGTGTGGGAAGGAAGTTCAGGGTGGGAGGACTGAGTGCCATTGGTTTTCTAACACAGAAGACCAGGATTGCATGGTGGCAGTGTTGTGCGGTTGCTGCTGCCTCCTCTGTGGCCGACACCAAATGGTTAAGCCACAAACACAGGGCTCTGTTCTAAGGAAAGGCTCCAGATTCAGCTTTTTATGGCAACCCCCAAACCATATGCCTTCCGGAAGCATGCCTTGCAGTACAAATGCTTCTTAGCAACACTGGCTCTTTTAAAACCTAAAATATGCGTTAAAATAAACCCAGCTTTCCTATCGACCCTATCTTTCCATCAATCACCTATCTATATCTACCTACCTATCTAATTATCTGCTCATCTATCAATTTAAAAGAACAACCTAAGAACCTAGGCTCTGGAGACTTGCATTATAACTTTACAGTTATAGTTTCTCTTATACCTACTGCTACACACATAAACTTACACACATGCACACACACATTCTAGGATGAAAACAACATAAATATAATCCTGCCTTTAGTGCTGGCTAAAGTATGCGATTATGTTGATCTCAATTGTAGGGATCCTTGCTGAAGTCTGAGATTTTTAAGGGGTCTGGTCCCTTTGCCAGATTCTATTTATGAGATGACAGAAATACTATTTAAGTGTAATAGGATGCAAAATACATTGATAATAAACTGGATCCTTTTAAACAACTAAAAAAATATTTCAGAGCATGCTTTCTTCCCTGAAGTCTACTTTCCTTCCTCCAGGCCACTTTGCTGGAGATGGCTAAAATTATGAGAGGCATTATACAGGCAGGAAGCATAGTTGAGTTGGATCTTAGCTAGAAGTTACTGTCCTCCTTCATTTTGCTTGCATGGGAGTTTATGGAAGCATTAGTAATAAATCTTAACTAGAAAGTTAGAAAATCAATATTTAATTAATTTTTTTGCAGCTGAATTTTATGGAGCCACTCCTAGCTGTTTTCAAAAGCTTATGTCTGTTGATGTGGTGGGTACTAAATGGTTAAAGTGGAAAAATTCTGGTGTGTGTATATGTGCGTTTCTTTGAGCTAAGAGAGGAAGGAGGGATGTTATTGGAGAGATTGAACGGAAAAGAATGTCGCCTCAATAGGTATGTATTTGTGTAAAATGAAATCTGTAGAATAAGAAGAAATGTTTAAAGAACCAGTGTCATCATTAAACATTTATTTATTTTGAGAGAGATAGATCTATCATTCACTGGTTCAATACTCACAGCAGCTGACACTGAGCCAGGCCAAAACTAAAGCCAGGAACTCATTCTGAGTCTCCCATGTGGGTGGCGGGAACCCAAGTACTTGAGCCATCACGTGCTGCCACTTGGGTTGCTCATGAGCAGGGAGCTAGGATCGGGAGTGGGCCGGAACTGGAACCCAGGCACTCAACTTGTCATCCTGAGGCATCTTAACCACCACACCAGACGCCCACCCCAAAGTGTCCTCTTTAATAGAATGAAGCCTGGGATCTCTGGTCTTGGCAGAGCAGGAGTAGCTGGACCTCACAGCCTTGACTCTTGGCCCTTAATACCCACCTGACATTTAGGGGCCTCTGACTACTTGACATTATGGAACCTCTGGCCTTGGCTGAGGGGGTGGATTAACAAAGCTGCAATTTCTGGTGGGAAACTGGTCCTAGCACAGCCTTCTCCTGGTTGCTAAGGCACAAATGAGACCAGGCTGGGATATGTCACAGAAGACCTCCAGTAAACTCCCAAGACTACCTGCTTGCCAATCTCTTGGCACATGCCCATGCCCAGGGCTCAGCCTCACAGAATCAGATTTTGCAGTTCTGCTGGGGGACCTGGGAATCTGCAGTTTACATCTTTCCCAGATGATTTGGAAGCAGGTGAGAGGAGCTGGAGTCAGACTGTGGATGGTGTCTAAATGGACTCATGGCCAAGGCCCTGGGGACATGGCATCCTAACCTGTCCTGCTGTGGGTTCGGAGGGAGAAGTGCACACAGCAGATCAGCATACACCAAAACCCCAGGCCCTGGAGCAGATGGCCTGCCTTCCTGCTGCAAGCAAGGCATGGAACACAGGGCTAACCTAGGAGTCAAAGCCTGAGGTTGTCATCTGTCCACTGGTAGATGAAAAGCATACTGAACTCTGTTTAGTAAATTGAACAACTTGACTTCCCTTGCGTGGGTGGGCAGGCAAGACTTGATTGCCCTGTACCTGCAGGAAAATGGGAGGAGACGAATTAAACAAATGAGTACATGGATGCTCCTTGCTAAATGGATGTTTTCTAGGGCAATGCCTTGAGCAAAAGCCTGATTCCTATGCTCTGATGTTTTTCCTTTGAACAGCATTTGGAGAAAGAGAATGAGACTGGGGTGAAGGAGGACCATGGCCCACTTCTTGAGCTTTGCCCTGAACTGTCCAGCCCTAGCAGAAGCCCCTTTGGTCCCTAAAGAGCAGGTTATAGCAAGAGTCATGCAGGAGCTGTGGGAAGTGTTGTTCTTAGCTTAAAAACATGAGAAATCAGTTAAAGAAAAGGTTTACGTGAAGTCAGAATATCTTGGGAAGGAATTTCCCTGCTCTTATGTTTCCCAGAGATGAAAGCCAGGGACCTCAGCACGCCCTGTGCATCTGGAATGGTCCACAATGCGATAGCAATAGCTGCAGTGTTCAAGAGGCCACACGATGACGGGCAGAGTTTGGAGGATAAGGGGAAATACTGCTTTGCTCAGACGATAACGTCTTGGCTATAGCACTTGCTGTTTTCTTCCGCTCCAGCAGACTCAGCCATGCAGACTGGACCAGTCCCAAACACAAGTCAGCATCGCTTAACGAAGCACATTTGTTTCGTGTGCAGTTGAAATTGGGGCCTTGCTGCTGCTCGACTTAGAGGCACATTCCCTTTGGTTTTCTCATCTCATCAAGAGAAGGGCTTTGGTTTGCTCAGCAAGAGCCTCCCTCCCTGGAACTCCTACCCTTGGAAGAAGCTCATCCAAGCAGTCCGCCTGGCCCAGGGATACTGCCCTGTCGGCAGGGGGCAGCTCATTTCTCTTTAGCCATGAGCAATGACTTCTGGCGAACACTGCCTGCCGGGACCTTGGTGTCTCCACCTTGTCAGCCAGAAATAAGGGATCACCTTGTGAATGTCCTTCTGCCATCTGAGGCCCTGTACTACATGTCTTGCAGAAGGACCACTGCCCTTGATCAGAGCCTTTCAGACAGTCTCATCCTCCAAGAACATCACATAGCCTTGCAAGATCTCACTGATCCCTCTTCCCTCCCATCCCTGTGCCTGGCTTTCCTCTGCTGTCCACCTTGCTGGCATTAGCAGCAGTTAATGTTCCTTTCAACCTCCGTGTGGCTGCTCTAAGGTTACTTAATCATCTTCCATGTAGTTGATATTTCTCCATGCATTTTACAGCAGTCTGGGGGCTCCCTAGGGAAACGGGAGTAGTTAGCAGGATATAACTCTCCCATGATGATTTCCAGAGATTGGGGAAGCTACAAGTCCCTACCTGCCATTCATCACTCAACATTTTAAATTATCCACATTGATTTCCAATCCTTGCAGATTGCGTGCAATCACATGAGTACCGACAGCCTGGAGGCTGACTTCAGCCCTACCCAGCAGCCCTGGTCAGTGTGTCTTGATGATAGGTTTGGCTTAGCTCGCCAAATCCATAACAAGCAGTGCCGCCTCTACTCCTTAGGGTAAGTTTTTTGTTTGTTTGCATGTGTTGTTTTGTTTTAACAGCAGCAGAAGACATACACTCATGCGGGCAGCCTTGGGATTTTCCAGTAGCACAGGGATGAGTGGCTGCAGTGCAGAGAAGCTGCTGTGTTCCGCCTTCTGCCATCATCCCAGACTGGTCTGTTTGGGAGCTGCAGGCACAGGCTGATACAGTGGCCCCAGCCACTTTTTGTTTTTGTTTTGTTGGTAGTAAGCTGGCAACACGAAGACAGTCCTCTTGGTGAATCCTGTGATCTCTGGCTAAAGCAGGAGTGCCCTCATTTTACAAGAGACAGGATCGTATTCATGAATTCAACTGAGGAAAAAGGAACAGAGAGTGCAAGTTAGCAATTGGATCCACAAGATGAGGGAGTCAAGACATGTATGTGATGGCCACTGCTGCCATTTCTATGTTTTGTGTCAATGGTAAGTGAATGAATAGGAAAAAGGGAAGAGAACATTTTTTAAAAATTTATTAGTTTTATTTTATTTTTAAAGATTTATTTGTTTTTATTTGAATGGCAGATTTACAGAGAGAAATATCTTCCATCTACTGCTTCACTCCCCAAAATAGCTATAACAGCCAGAGCTGAGCTGACCTGAAGTCAAGATCCAGGAGCATCTTCCCAGTTTCCCACATGGGTGCAGGGTCCCAAGGACTTGGGCTACCCTCTGCTGTTTTCTCAAGACCTAAGCAAGGAGCTGGATCAGGAGTATAGCAGCTGGGACATGAACTGGAGTGCTTGCTGCAAGCAGAGGCTTAGCCTACCATGCCATGGTACCAGCCTCATGGGAGGGAACTCTTATGCAAACCATGTGACTTTGTGAAAACTACTTGAGGAAAAATTGGCATTCAGCCATTCAGGTTGAAAAGGACCTACATGTGCAAATAGATTTGGCGTGCTTTTTGTTAAAGGATGAATACAAAGTACCAAGATGCTTTCACAAAATATTCCAGTGCTTTGTAAACAACCCTGAATTTACAAATGGCATCTGTCTCCACAAAAGGCAGGCGGGAATTTGTTTTTTTTAGAAAACACTGTTCCATAGGCTCTTTGTAGGTGCCTGATGGGTCTCCCAGCTACACCACTGAAGTCCTTTATGTGCAATACTGAGGACTCTTAAAAAAACTGTCATAGGCCAGACCCTCACTTGTGGATTTCATTCTTTCTGTAGTCCACCTGGAGCTCCAGGTGTGGCAACCACCTGCTAGAATGCCAGGTGGTCAGGGTTAGGGGAGACAACTGGGTGATGCGGAGACCCCGAACCCAAGGGTGTAAATGCAAGGAGGGAAGCTGTTGCTGTCAAAGAACAACAAACATTGCCAGCTACTGGGGACTTAAAGAAAACAAAAGATTCAAGTAAGAATTTAAACCTAGCAGAAATATTCTTCTATGGGTTAAGTGAAGATATGTGGGGACATTTGGAAAAATTCCTGGAAGGTACATAGTATGCCAACACTAAGCATGAATTGTCAAATTTCCCTGCACTGGAATTAGTGTGTGCGCTCATTGAATGTCATGAACCTTCTGACATGCCCTCGTACTGACCTGGTGGGACTCGGCACATAGCTGGCACGTGTTTGCTATGGGAAGCCTAGCAGGAGGCAAGGTTGCTGATTGATGTGGGAAGGGAGGGTTGGGTGGAAGGCTTAGCCAGACAGTCAGAATAGAGACCTGGCTGTAGGAACTCGGTCAGTCTGATGGAGGGCTGGGAGCTCTGACAGCAGGGTCTACTTTATGTCCTAATCACAACATCTGCAAGTAACTCCTGAGACTGGTGGTCTAGTACCACGTGCAGATCGGAGGGCTCACTTTGCTCCTCTATTCTTACTTCCTGTGGCTTTTGCAGTTTACTTACTGTTTCATGCTCTGCAATCATTTTTACTTAGAGCGTATAACTGAATACAAATAAAGCTGGGAATGCTTTTTGGGGAAAATACCCTTTAAAATTTTCTTCAAAATATTTATTCAAGAGGCAGAGAGACATAGAAGGAGTTTGGGGAGGAGAGCTCCCACCCACTGGTTCACTTCTCAGGTGCTTTGCGACGGCTGCTGCTGGGCCAGGCTGAAACCAGCAGCTGGGAACTTTCATGTCTCCCAGGTGGCTGGCAAGGGACCTGGTTACTTGAGCCGTCACCTGCTGCCTCCCAGGGCATGCATTAGTAGGAAGCTGGAATCAGGGGACCAGAACTGGAAATCGAACTGGGACCCTATGATTTGGGACATAAGTTTCCAAACTGGCATCTTTAATGCTAAACTGAATGCCTGCCATCAGGGAAATTTTTAAACTTCCTTTTTAGTAGGCCTGGTGGCGTGGCCTAGCGGCTAAAGTCCTTGCCTTGAACATTCCAGGATCCCATATAGGCGCCGGTTCTAATCCCAGCAGCTCCACTTCCCATCCAGCTCCCTGCTTGTGGCCTGGGAAAGCAGTCAAGGACAGCCCAAGGCCTGGGGATCCTGCACCCACGTGGGAGACCCGGAAGAGGTTCCTGGCTCCTGGCTTCAGATTGGCATATTGCCGTTGCTCTCACTTGGGGAGTGAATCATCGGACGGAAGATCTTCCTCTCTGTCTCTCCTCCTCTCTGTATATCTGACTTTCCAACAAATAAAATAAATCTTTAAAAAAAATTCCTTTTTGTTTTCCTTAGAGACATTGAATATGATGGTGTTCTAATAAGATTTCAGATGGTCACAAATGAAAAGGTAGTTTGTTATTTTCATTTACATTTTGCCATTCAAAGTCAACATTGGGGAAATAGATGAGAACAGTCAAATCCCATTGGGAAAAGAAATGAACAGATTACAAGTCTCATTATTGCCAAAAAGTTCTGCTTACTTGGAAAGTGGAAACTACAGGAAATATTTCCGATGGCTCCCAAAAGGAGACTTGGAACCGTGGGTGACCATGTTGATTGTGCTAGAAGCCTTAGGCCTGGAGTCCAGATAAGCACCCCCAGAGGGCTTGCACATTGCCGGCAGCATCCCCACTGAGGCTGAGGGAAGAAAGATCCAGCTAAGAATGGCTGGTCCTGAGATGTTGAACAAGACGGGGGAGGGGGGGGTGGTTCCGGCACCTGGTAGTGTTGGGACTGCTGCACATAGGCAGGGAGGGCAGGTGCCAAGTCAGGTGGCCCTGCCCACAGATGGTGTATGCTGCATGCTCCAGGCCAGTGGCAGTAACAGCATGGTCATTACTGCTGAGCCCAGGTATTCCCAGCCAAAATCAGATTGCAACTACAACCAGGTTGAGTTTCCTGGAAAGAGAGAGGGGAGGACTTAGGGACACAGGAGTTAGAAGACAAAGGCTCATGGCCCTACCTTTGGGTTGGCCTTGATTCCTTTTTCCACCCACTGCCTGAAGCAGGTATTAGGTGCACCTGCTATTCTTCATCAGTGCTGAAGCTGATAAATTTCTTTTCAGAGCTTTTTATTGCACAGTTAATGGAAGAGATGGCTCTCTGGCAGTGTGTAATCCAAGGTGGCATACAGCTGAAGATTCCTATCAGATCCTTTTCCATTTTGAAAGGGATAGAACAGACAAATTAAGGTAGGCAGCATCTAGATCGGAGAAGGGGAAAGAGAAAAGAAATAAGGAGAGTCTGGATTCAGGTGATAACCTTGTCTATCTCATGACCTGAGGCAGGACCTCCACATGAGTTTTTGTGAGTATTTGGTGGAAGGGCTGTGGGGGGCGGCGGTGGGGAGGGTGAGGATCACCAAGTTTACTTTTCATGTATTTGGGGGGCAGGAGCAGGCATGGGAAGGAATAGGAGTAAAATACTCAGCCAATGTCAGGGACCCTCAAAATGTGCAGGGAAAATGCGCATCACACATAAACTCTGAATGAATTCCTAATCTTTTCTGCACCACCATGAACCTATTTTCCCATGAATTTGTTGAAGTCCCCTTGTGCTTCTCACCTGTCATTCAGCTCTGGGATCAGTTGTATCAGTTGATTTCAAGATACACATTCTCCGTATGAGGGAACAGAAGAGCTCACAGGAGACACATGGTTAGGTGACAAGAGCCTGCATTTTATACACAACCTTTGGGACTTCCAGTGGCCATGGGTATCTGGAGAACACAGAAGCTCTGGATAGCATTGTACAGTGGTTGAAGGAGGGCGTTGGTGAAGAATCAGGAAATTGTGGCTCCCAGAATTCCCCTTTGGACATATCCTTTGCCCATCACCCTCTGTGGCATTTTGATGTCGTAGTTGCAGAGCTGCTTACGTGATATGTGCCTCTCTGTGCTTTATATGCAAAGAAGGGAAGGTTTTTCTGCCCTCACAAACCCATCTGCCCCCTTCTGAGTGCCACCGTCCCTGTTGAGAACACAGGTGTTAGATGAAATCTTGCTGTTCCTTGTAATGTTATTTAACGAAAATGAATGATGATAAGATATTTCCCACCCATTATTGAGTGTCACTTCTATTTTGAAAAACGGATTCCTCCCCTGCAGTGCGGTTGGCAGTTTACAGATCTGGGTAATTACTTGGCTGGCATCTCTGGCTCCTGGCAGGATGAAGGGGAAGAGTTTTAAAACTCTTTTGCTTCCAGCCCTTGTCTGCAACAGTGAGGGTGAAACATCATCCCTTAGATCTGCTTTGAATTTGTTATTGTTTTTTCTGTAGCATTTACATTAAAAAAGATTTATTTATTTTAAAGACAGATTTTTGAGAGAAAGGAGAGACAGAAAGATTTTTCATCCTAAGGTCCATACCCCAAGTGGCCACAACAGCCAGAGCTGAGCCAGTCTGAAGCTGGAAAACAGGAGCTTCTTCCATGTCTCCTATGTGGGTGCAGGGGCCCAAGGGCTTGAGGCACCCTCTGTTGCTTTCCCAGTCTATATGCATGGAGCTGGATCAGAAGTGGAGCAGCCAGGATAGGAACCAGCATCTATATGGGATGTTGACACCACAGGGCAAAGAATTAGCCTGTGGCACCACTGTGTAGGCTCCTGTTTTTGCAGCACTTAAAATAGCTTTCCTGCACATTTAATTCACAGATGTAAAACACACAGCTCAAGGCTTTTAATCTCTACCAGCAAGGTTAGAACATTTCGTCCTGTCACCCTCCAATGAAAGGCCCCATGCGTATAGCAATCACTCTCAGTGCCCTCCAACCTCATCCTACCCAGGGAAGCACCCTCTCATGCTGCTTTCTGTCCCTTTGGGGTTCCCTGTTCACGTAACAGAAGTGTACCACCTGTGACCTTCGGTGACTCTTGTGTTTCCCTTCTTTCCCTCCACCCACGGTTTACAAGCGTCAGCAGTCCCTGGTGTGGCTACGCCATTGAGTGTTTATCCGCTCAGCAATTGATGGGCTTTTACTTGGTGGCCGGCTTTCAGTGCTAATGGATGCCATCATTAGGTGTTTGCAGTTAAGACCATTCCAAGTTCCAGTAATCTGAAAAAACTGCAATATCTCCACATCCTTTCCGATACTCTCCATTCCGGGTCTTTTTGATGGTAGACATGGTCTACCCTGTGGTCTTTCATCTATATTTCCCTATTAGCCAAGAATCTTGAGCATTTTTTTGTGGTTATCCTATGAGTTCTTGATTCTTGGAGAACATAAGGCCATGCATCCTAGTCACAGAGGGCTGTTTTTGTTTTTTTTTTTTAAAAATATTTATTTATTTATTGGAAAGTCAGATATACAGAGAGGAGGAGAGACAGAGAGGAAGATCTCCTGTCCGATGATTCACTCCCCAAGTGAGCGCAATGGCCGATGCTATGCCAATCTGAAGCCAGGAGCCAGGAACTTCTTCCGTGTCTCCCACACGGGTGCAGGGTCCCAAAGCCTTGGGCCATCCTTGATTGCTTTCCCAGGCCACAAGCAGGGAGCTGGATGGGAAGTGGAGCTGCCAGGATTAGAACTGGTGCCCATATGGGATCTGGGTATGCTCAAGGCGAGGACCTTAGCCACTAGGTCATGCCACTGGGCCCAGAGGACTGTTTTTGAAAGAATGACCATGGACTTGAAGCCAGCTGTCCCATCTCTAAGGGGACATGTCATTGCCAGGGGTTCTGTAGGTAATTCAAAGAATGCCTTTGTGCCCTTGGGGAAAGGCACCTTACTCTTAAGAGAACTTCCCTGCCCTCACCAGGAGGTAATCATACAGCCAAGGTGGTATAAATGACAGCCTCTGGGGTTGTTTGGGGCACACCCCACACAACACATAGGGTTGTTGGTTGGTTTTCTCTGAGATTTGAGAAAAGGATGGCCAACATGGCTACCCTGGCACTTTGTTACTACCCTCTCCTTCTGAGAGAAGCAGCTGTCAGATTGTTGCTGCTTTTTCTGTGTTAAGTTCGTTGTGAGGTTACACCCCTGCATTAACATGTGGAATGGTATTTGTATAATTCCCTTGGGGAGGATTACATCATTTTCTCTCCCTGCCCTCTCTCAGTGGCTGAGCAGAGTGGGGAGTGGAGAGACATTGCATAGTGAAGTTTGTCCATATATCAATATGCATACACTGCTTAGCTCTGTCATGAATGAGCTGTAGCGAGAGTTGCTTGTTTCCTCCCAGCATTCATTCTCCCCTTCTTTCTTGGTAACAGAACTCCTGAGGTCAGTGCTACCTTGCTGAGGGCGATGTTCGCTAACCTCCTTGTAGCTTTGGGTGGCCCTTTGACTGGCTGTGAGCGATGAGATGTGAGTAGCGGAAGAGATGTGTGTGACTGCTAAGCCGTGCCCCCCAGGGAAAGGATGTGACCATGGCTTTCCCTTTTGCCTTTCCTGATGACTGGATGCAAACAGGATGGGCCAAAAGGAGTTTGACATCTTCCGTCTTGGCCCAGTGACCTGGCAATCTGTACTTCTTGCTTCTTGGAATCCGAGGTAAAATATTTCTGTGAAGTAAAATGCAGATCATGGCTTCTTTATGGAGTAGGCCTGTTTTGCTACAAATAACAGTTATTTTGTCATAGAGCCCTGGGGCAAAGTGGTTAAGAAACGCTGCTGGGAAGGCCATATGACACTGGAGAGCCCTGGTTCAGGTTCAGGCTCTGTTTCTGATTCTAGCTTGCTGGAGGCAGCAGCCAATGGCTCAAAGACTTGGGTGCCTGCCCCCCAGATCAGAGAGGCCCAGACGGAGTTGCAGGCTCCCAGCTTTGGCCTGGCTCAGGCCTCATTGTTGTAAACATTTCGGGGATGAACCAGTAGAAGCAACATTTCTACCTATCTGTCTTTCTCTTCACTCTTACAGCCTTTCAAATACAGAAGCATTTTATTTTTAAACATTCTAAAAGTCTTTGACATTTTTTTTACTACTTAGCAAGCTTCTTCAGATCCCAAGGCTATGCTGGATTTCTCTCTGTGTTGTCCATCAGAACACCTTCTACATGCAAAATTCTCCATAAATATTTGCTTCAATCCACGAGTAAGTGTGAGAAATGTGTCCCACCACATGCTGGGTCTGGATGGTGTATATATTGCCCGACGGTACCTAAAAGTTCCCTTTCCCTCAGGGTGGACGTGTAGATCTGTCTGGTGTCCTTCATTTCCTGAGCACCAGGGATTCAGAAAAAGGAAAGACCCAAGCAATGTGTTTCCTTCACTGAGCTTCACTGCGGTGTCATTGACAAGTTCCTGCACCACTGGGATGGTAGATAATCAGTCCCTCCAAGCTGCTGTCCCAGCTGCCCCTGCACCCCCAGGTAGAGTGTGGAGAGCACCTGCTTTGAAACTATCTGGATTGGAAAGTCTTGGGGGAGACTCAAGGGAGGAAGCCGTGACAATGGTCTGAACTGCGGGGATTCAGCAGGAGGTGGGAAATAGGGGCAGAATCTCCCAAGCAGAGAAGTGGAAATGGTTGTGAGAGGGTTGCTGGACCTTATGAGGCAAAAGTATTGCAAGCGTGACTGAGTGCTGGGCGAGGTAGGGGACTGGCACACCATGGGATCCTGTGGGAAGGAGGACAGTGAGGCAGGATGAAGGGAGAGGATGCTTCAGATGCAGCTACGGAGGATGCTTCAGTGGAATGTCTCATTGGTGGAGCTTGTTTCAGTTCACTGCAGTCTGGTCAGTGATGGCTCCACCCGAAACATGTGTCTTTCCAAATGATGCAACAGTTTTGAACTGGTAGTGTCCAAGAGAACAAATGTTGTTGCGCCAGGTTCTAGTTTGGCTCATGTGTTGATACTCTGTAGGATTTTGGTCTGCTAAATCAGACATAATTACAGTATTTTGGGCAGAGAAGCCATAATCATCATTTTAAAAAAACTACTCTTTCAGTTAATTTCATGCTTTTCATTCAAATTGGTGCTTTAATCAAAGTGATGATTGCTTACACCATTACATAAAAAATGTTTCGGAGTCACTTCAACAGTTGCAAGTATATGAGTTTTGCACAAGATGTGCTACCTACTGGGTGCTTAACTAGGATGGATTCATACTTTCTTCTCGTTGTCAGAGTGAATCTCGGTGAGGAACCATGCTTGATCCAGTAGCATCACAGACACTTACCCATTCTCTGTGGCTGTGATTTTCCAAACTGCACTCTGCTGCTTAGAAAATAGCTGTTGTCTTCAAGTCCAATTGTGCACACAGCCCTGTTGCTCTTGCAATGGAGACAAATTACCTCATTAGTAGAATGTACTTCTCTCCAAGAGACTAATCTAGGGGCTTACATTTTTGGCAACTTCTGAGAAAATCTCAAAAGACTACAGGATGCTTTCCATGTTTGTTTCACTATACTGATTTACATTTTTAAAAATCATGCTTTTAAGTGTTTCTACATGTTGGAGCACATGCTCTCTGAACTGTGTTTGACAGATATTTTCTATCCAGCAACTTTGAGCTGTAATGCTTTTTCTGAAGGAAGTTTATTGAACCTGTTCATTAGCTGGCATGGCAAATCCTCTGCCTGCAGTGCCAGCATCCCATATGGGTGCTGGTTCGTATCCCGGCTGCTCCAGTTCTGATCCAGCTCCCTGCTTTGGCCTGGGAAAGCAGTGGAGCATAGCTAAGTCCTTGGGTTCCCGCACTCACCTGGGACACTCAAAAGAAGCTTCTGGCTTTGCCTCAGACCAGTCTATTTCTGGCCATTGCAGCCATTTGGGGAAGTAAACCAGTGGATGGAAAATTTCTTCATCTCTCTGTTTCCCTGCCCCCTCTCTGATTTTCAAGTAAAATAAATAAATCTTTTTTAAAAATAGAAGACTGGTTATGACTAAAAAAAATGGCCGTGGGACTGTGATTTCTCCCACCCAATACTTGGCTTTGTTCTGTGATTTTGTGGTTGACTTCCCTCCTCTTTTCTGCAGGCTGGGAAGTGATAATACCGGCTTTGAGGTTAGCATGGCCAAGAATGGATGTGAAGTGCATCGTTTTGATCCTAGTGTGAAGTCAGCTCACATCCTGGAGAGCCAACGCCTGTGGTATCACCGCTTGTCCATCACCTGGAGGGACCCCCACCCAGCTGTTGCTGTTCAGAAGTCACATGCCAATGCCAGAAAGCTGGGAAGTGTTTTGAATGAATTTGGGCATTACAAGGTGAGATTTCTTTTTCATGTGATTGCATCATCAAACAGTGAACAGACTCTCAAACTGGAGGCCTTTAAATGCAAGCCAAGAGATGCAACACTGATATTGGATAGTTGAATGTCCAGTTTTAGTAGTTACACAACGTTATTTATGGGGTCAAAATTATTTATAAATGTAGAGTTTTGGGACGGACAGAGATTTAAGTGGATTTAAGGTAATACTAACTGGCTGTTGAGTAATGCTGAGGTCTTATCCCAGACTGGGCTAAGAAGACTAAGAAACCCGCTGTTGGCATAGACTGCAGAATACCACTTTCTTTTGTCAGTTGACTTGAAATGTCCAGAAATAGTAAAAATTTATGTCAGCCTTAAATACCAAAAGCAAAAATAAAAACAAAAACAAAAAAACACCTGATCAGACATGGCTTGTGTATACTATTTCTCTCTTGTAACATATTTCTCTCGATATTGAGCCTCTACATGTTTACAATGCACAAAACATAGGTAGCTCTGATGAAAACATAAAGTTGAATGGGCATTATGAATGCTATAATTCTATTATGTTTATGAATGAAGGGAGCTAACAAGGCTCAACACCTTTAGGCTTCAAAAACGTGTGTTAGAAGTTTTGTTCTTGATGCAGTGATGTGAGAGGTGGGGTGAACCTGTAAGCGGTGACTCCTAGTGAAAGGCCCTCGGGAGGGATGCAGGCAGCTCGTGGGGTCCTGAGCATGCCCAAGTCACTGTCCCCTTCTGGTATGAAATGTGTCTGTGCCTTCCACTCATGCTCCTGTTGCTGTGATGCTGCGGTGAGATGCCGAACCGAAAGGGTCACCTGATCTTGCATGCACTGTGAACCTGTAAACAGTGCCTCGCCAATCCTGCCCTTTAAAAGGTGGGGGAGGGCAGAAGCCTTGCTCCTGAGAGCAAGGACAAATGGACTAACATAGATGTTAGATCTCTACAAACTGTGACTTGCTAACGAAGGAAGTTCATGCTCTTAAAAAAAAATGTCATTTAATTATTTGAGAGAGAGTGCACTCCCAGATGTTAATTCACTCTCCAATGGCATCATTCAGGGACCCAAAGCTGGGAGCCTTGAAGTCAATTCAGATAGACGACAGGGACCCAGCTAGGTGAGCCACCACCTGCTGCTTCCCAGGGTCTGCATAGAGCAAGAAGCTGCAATCAGAAAGAAGATATTGAGCCCAGGCATCTTCACTGCCCCGGGCCAAACGCCCACCCCAAAAAGCTCAACCTTTGAGCTGCGTCCCCTGAAAACAAGTTTTACGATAGCACAACCAAGCCAAATGTAGTTAGGTAAGTGTAGTAGTTCCTGGGGAGATTCCCAGTGCTGTTGGTTTTACAGCTGATTTCCCTTGGGGATGGTCTGCCATGATCTGATAGCTGATTTCCCTTGGGGATGGTCTGTCACTGCTAGCCAGCGATACTGTGTGATTCAGGGCAGGTCAGAATGTGTGTTTCTGTCTGAGATGCAGTATGCATGGCCCTGAATTTTAAACTTGAGCTGGTTTCTTGATCTTCAGTAAGAGGGCTTTTCCCTGGCCTTGTTCTTTCGCCTCCTGCTCCTCCTCTTCTTCTTTTTTGGTAGAACTCCCTCTAATTAGTCAGCTGAGGTTTCTTCAAGAACAGCTTCAAAGAATGCACTGTTCTTTTAACAGGCTGTACACTATTGAGTGGTGTTTCGTGTTGCTGCAGGGAATAGCCAGCATTTAATAGTTAGGAGCCTTAATGAAACACACATAGGAATTTGGGAGTAAAAATTTCTGAGCAGAACCTCTTTTTTTTCACATGCTAATGATTTTTATAACCCTAGGTGGGGAAAAGCAGCAGTGTTTTTTCAGAACCTTGTTTTCCATCTCTGCCACCTGTCATCTTTGTAGATGGGTTTCTTACGGCTGAAACTCATACGTCTGTTTGCCAAGTTTGTCCATTCCCGATGATTTTCAAAAGCTTTGCTTAGTCTTTGTGTTCTGGTAGGAGGACTCCTGCGGCTTCTCCTTCGTGCTCTTTGCATCTAAGCCCTCTCAAAGAAAGACAGTAGGGGGAAAAAAGAAGTTAAATGCAACACCAGTTTTGTTCCTTTCAATAATGTTTTAGCAAAAGATGTGGTGAGGGTAAGGATAAACAAAGATTTTGTGAAAGTGATCTGTGGTGTCATCTACTGAACCACGTGTGCTAAGGAAAATGTGTCCCCGGATAGCAAGCTGTGAGCCTGCATTGTGCTTGTGTAGCTCCCTGGGAAGTGCAGTGGACAAAAACCTTGATGCTGAGGATAAAGCAGTAAGTCTTTTGCAACAGTGATCCCTAAACAAGGAGAAGTGCTTTGCAGGATTGCTTATATTGCTCTGGCTACTTGTTTTTGTTAGCTACCTTTTGTTCTGGCTCACAGTGCTGGGAGTGCATTGGCTTCTGGGGGCAGTAGGGGGCATTTTTGAAGAATACATGGGACCCTGATGTTTCAAAGAGGGTTCATTTTTTCGGGGTTGGGGAGGATGCTTTAGAACAAATAGCACTCATTGGATAACTTCCATTATGAATTTGCTTCTAGGAGCTACAAGGTGCCAAGTCAAGGGCAGTTTTGCTTGGGGCCCCATAGCAAACACGGTCTGTTTTCATTTCTTCTGCATGTGTATGCACACCAGTAAATAAGATGTGACTGTGATGGGGAAGCAAGGAGAAAAAAAGTCACATTTAAAAATGTCAGTGCTTTAGTCTGGCCTCCTTCACTCATTCCTCCTGGAAGTGACAATAAAAGCATTTGTTGCTGTGATTTTGTGTGACTTTGAAAGATCTCAGGTAGTTTTATAATTTCCATCTTGGACTATGATTTTTTTTCTTCTTCCTTTTCACTATACCTGCATTCCAGCCACGCAAGCAAAATGGGACAAAAATGAAAGGCGCTGTTCTGAGTTAGTGACAGAAAGATGCATGTGGCTTTCGGCCTGCCTTTAAAACTCTTTGCTAATTTTAACTTGAGACTATAAATCACCAAGTCTCGCTGAAGCCCAGGCGGGGGGGACAGCTGCATCAGCAGTACTATGTGGACCACAGCCCAGTCTGTCAGGATATGAAATCACCTGCATCCAGCCGTCCTGTAAATGATCCAGCGTTGACTTCCTGCTGAAGTGGTTGTGGCTGTTCACTTAGCATCTTTCTAGAATGACTTTGAAAATATCGAGTCTGAAGTTTGTGCTTCTAGTCACAGTGATGGATGCTTCCCGCCACCCCTGCTCCCACATCCATAGTCAGATTCACCTTAATGATACAGGCTGGATGGTTGTCAGTCCTCACCATGCTGTGGATCACAGGAGCCACAGGGTTGTCAGGGCTTTGCCTCTGTAAACTCACCCATGTAGATTTGAAGCAAGGATCCCCTGGCTAGCTTTGGGCACTAAGGAAATCACTGAGCCCCTCTGGCATTCCACTCAGTTGAATTGTCCCTAAATGGAGTGCCAAATGTTGCCTGAATCACAGATTGCTTTTTGAGAATTAGCTCTAAGAAAAGGGTGTCAGTCTCCAGCCTGGTATGAATTAGTTCTTCAATTGTTGCCAAAAATTCTAGCTTAGGACCTTTTTTTTTTTAACTTAATGTCTTAGAAAATATTGGGGTTTGAACATTTTTCTTTCTTTCTTTCTTTCTTTCTCTGTTTTCGAGAAAGATCCAACAGAGTTTTTTCTGGAAATTGCTAACCACACTCAATTCAGTCCAGAGTTTTCAGTGAAAGTGAGGGGCAGAGGTTGTCCTGGACAGCGAGTGCCACCCGGGACCACTGTGGCTTTGCTTGGGACTACGTGGAAAGTCAACTCTGCAGTGTACAGTTGAAGAACATGGTTGAGAATCAAGTGGGGAGGGGGGTCAGCTCACAGCAGGTGGGAAAGACAGTGTATGCCATTCAGTTCTAGGTTGGAACTCTGTCCCTACCGGAGGCAAGGAAGTGTTCGGGACAGCAACTCCACGTCCCCTAAGAGGACCACGTTTCTGCCTGCCTGCGCTGGGTACTCATCACTAATTCAAGATCTTGGGGGGTTTTGTTCTGTGCTGGCTGCAGAGGATATGGACTTTGAAATTAAGCTGCAAACGATCCTTCTTTCTTTGTCATTTTGCTTATCAAATTGGCAAGCATGAGCAAAAGATACTGCTCTGTATTGAATGTTTGTTAGGAATAAAACTCGGCTTTAGAAATAAAAATGAAATGTTCTATGTTTCAAGAAAATTTGACCACAGATTTTTGTTATGTTGCCTTTTGTTCCTAGAAGTATTTTTTTTTTTTTTGGCCTTAAATTCTGTTTTTTTATATTAGCTTTGCAACGCCTGCTCTCTCTTTTAAGGTTTTTTGTTTTTTTTTTTTAACTGGAAAGACAGACTTACAGATAGGATGGACAGAGAGAAAGATGATCCATCTTCTGCTTCACTCTCCAAGTGACTGCAACAGCCAGAGCTGAACAGATCTGAAGCCAGGAGCCCGGAGTTCCTTCCAGGTCTCCAAGGCTTTGGGCCATTCTCTACTGCTTTCCAGGGCACAAGCAGGGAGCAGCAGGGACAAGTGGAGCAGCCGGGAAACAAAACAGTCTGCATGTAGGATCCTGGCGCTTGAAGGGGGAGGATTAAGCCAGTTGAGCCACTGAGCCAGGCCCATAGAAAATTTTTACTCAAGAGAGAGAGAGAGAAGGCTCTTGTAGATTTCTTTGCTCCCTGGGTGCTCCTAACAGTAGGGCTGAGCCAAGGGGAATTCAGGAACTAGAATGTCAACCCCCAGGGGCAGGTAGGGACCCAAGCAATTACACACCATCGTCTGCTCCCTCCCAGTGTGTGCATTAGCAGAAAGCTGGTGGAGTTGCCAGGAACTCAAACCAGGCGTTCCAATATGGAATGTGGGTGTCCCAGGAGTAGCTCAGTCCACTTTAACACAATGCCTGCCTGCCATTAGAATTTCATCTTTCAGTTTGACAAATTTTCAGACAGAATATTTTTGAAATCATACGAAG